GGGGGCTGGGTGGAAAAGGTAAAGGGATTAAGAAGTGCAAATTGACAGTTATAAAACAGTCACTGGGATGTAGAGTACTACAGAAGGCATATAGTCAATAGTATTGTAATAACTATGTGGGGGCCAGGTGGGTACTTGAATTATCAGGGTGATCACTTCGTAAATTATGTAATTGTCTAACCATTGTGCTGTACACGTGAAGTTAATATAAAGTAATATTGAATATTAACTGTAATTGAAAAATAAAATGTAAAAACGATACTCAACATCATCAGCCATCAGCAAAATGAAATCAAAACCACAGTGAGTTGCCACTTCCATCTACTAGAATGAATCTATCAAAGAGACAGATAATAACTGTTGGCAAAGATGTGGAGCCTTCATGCACAGCTGGTAGGAATGTGAATGGAACAGTTACTTTGGAAAACAACCTGGCAGTTCCATAGAAGGTTAAACATAGAGTTACCATATGACCCAGCAATTCCATGCATGGACATATATACCCAACAGATGTGAAAGCATATGTCCACACAAAAACTTGCACATGAATTTTCATAGCAGCATTAGTCATAATAGCCAAAAAGTGGAAACAATCCAAATCTCCATCAAATGATGCATCGATAAATATAATTGAGCAGTAAAGGAATGAAGTGCTGATGCATGCTACAATATGGATAAACTTTCAAAATGTCATGCTAAGGGAAAGAAGCCAGTCACAAAATACTCCATATTGTGTGATTCCATTTACAGTAGAGCTTCAGTATTTGCGGATTCTGTATTTGCAAGTTCACCTACTCACTAAAGTTTATTAGTAACCTCAAAACCATTACTCATTGCACTTTCATGATCATTTGCACACATGCTTTAGAGTAGCAAAAGACCTGAGTTATCCCTCAGCTGAGGTCGGCAAAACAGCACTCTGGTTTCTTGTTTCAGCTCATAGTGTAAATGGGTCCTTTTCACAACTTACTTAGTGCCAGAGATTTTACTGTTTTAAAATGGCCCCCTAGGAGAGGAGTGTGACCTTCTCCTCTCCCCACCATGGTGTGTGCTTGTCCACCAATATCCGTGCACTCCGAAAAGGGAAACATCTGGCAAAAATGTCACTTTGCCTGCTGTGTTCAAGGCTCCCATTCAACCTATTGTGAACTTTATTCACACCAACTTGTGCAAAAACAATAGCCCTATGCTGTCAGTGAACTGGCAGGTCATCAAACCAGTGCCAAGTCTTGGGGTACTGGCAGAGCTGTGGCCCAAATTCCCAGAGTCCAAGGTGGTGGAATTCATCGTTCTGGCCAGGGTGCTTTTGGAAATATGTGTCATGGGGGCCACATGTTTGCACACCAACCAAAACCTGGCACCGTTGGCACCACAGAGTGAACACAACACAGAAATGATATGCCATCTGCTCGGCCTTACCAGCACTGGCCATGTCTAAAGGTCATAATTGAGGAAGTTCCTGAACTACTTTTGGTGGTTGAAGATACAGTTGAAGGCTACAAGAAAACCAAGGAGGCTGTTTTGCTTAAGAAACTTAAGGCCTGGAATGACATTAAAAAGGTCTATGCCTCACAGCGAGTGAGAGATGGCAAGGGCAAAGTGAGAAACTGTCGTATCCAGCACAGGGGACCTTGCATCATCTATAATGAGGACAACAGTATCATCGACCATTTTGAAACTTGCTCCTGGTGGGCATGTGGGCCATTTCTGCATTTGGACTGGAAATGCTTTCCACAAGTTAGATGATCTGTACAGCACCTGGCATAAAGCTGCCTCCCTCAAGAGTAACTACAACCTTCCCATGCACAAGATGTTCAATACAGACCTTAGCAGAATCTTGAAAAGCCCAGAGATCCAAACAACCCTCCAAGCACCATGCAAGAAGATTCACTGCAGAGTCTGAAGAAGAATCCACTGAGAAACCTGAGAATCATGTTGAAGCTAAACCCATATGCAAAGACCATGCGCCAGAACACCATTCTTTGGGAGGCCAAAAGCAGCCAGCTCCAGGTGGATAAAGCAGCAACAGCACTCAAAGCCGAATCAGATGAGAAAAGGGCTCCAGGCAAGAAGCCTGAGGTAGGGAAGAAAGGAAAGAAGGCTGTTGGTGTTAAGAAGCAGAAGAAGCCTTTGCGGGGGGGGGCTGCAGCTACCAAGAAACCAGCAGCTGAGAAGAAGCCTGCAGAAAAGAACCCACCACAGAAGAAAAGAAGCCTGTGGCATAAACTTAAATTTGTTTATTCCATAAAGGTCAGATCACTTTGGACAGCTAATTTTGAATAAAAAGGTGATCAAAGGGGGTGAGAGAGAAAAAATGACCTCCTAAGTACAGTGCTAAAGTGCTGCCTAGTATTCCTAAGGAGCATTGTTTTACTCAGAAGCAATGACTCAATATATGCCTTACATATATACTTCATAGAATACAACTATACAGAATATAACTTTATAGAATATAACTATATAGAATATAACTATAGCAAATAACAAGGACTGACTGTATGCAACTGCTCACGAGTATGAGATTTCTTTTGGGGATGATGAAAATGCCCTGAGTTACATATGGTGAAGGTTGTATAGCTCTGTGCATGTATAAAAACAAAATAGAAAACATTGAATTTTAAACTTTAAATGGGTGAATTTTATGATATGTGAGTTTTATCTCAAAAACAATTTAAATGACATTTGAGGGTAATGAATATTTTTTGAATGTCAGTTGGATAATATATGATACAGAATTTTTAATTTTCAAAAATGGAAATATGGTTTTGTATGAAATACCTTTGTTGTTAGGAAATGGCATGCTGAGGTATTTAGGAGTAATATATCAAGTCCAACAGTTAATTTCAAATGGTTACACAATTTTCAAAAGACTAGAGAGGGAGAGAGGGATAGCAAATACGGCTAAACAATAGCAGTTGTTGAATCTAGATAGAATATATATGGATATTCATTGCGCTTTACTTTCAAGGTTTTTACCTTGAAATTTTTCAAAATTAAAAAGTTGGTGGGAGAGACTTTTTGCACATTCAGCATTGAGAATACACCTTCTGTTCTAGTTTAGCGGCCTGTTTACTTCTTATTTTGCTGGTCATAACACATAACAGGACTGTACATGGACACTGAATATACTTGTGTATGCCAGAAATAGGTAGCATTAAAACCAGAGAAGAGGAAAACTCTTTTTTTCTTATTAAACATTCATATTTAATCCCTATACTTTTTAAAGTAATATATTCATCACAACTTGTGAAACAATACAAAGGTATATAAAGAAAAATAAACTGTACTAATAGTGTGGAATAGTATGTGTATTAAATATTCAGTAATGAAAGACCCCAATGTAGTGTTTATGACAGTACCTATTATATGCCAAGCACTATAGTAGATAATGGAGAAACAAGGAAAACTCTTATACCTTTGAGGAGCTCACCTTGTAGACGAAGCAAACGTGAAAACAAATGTAAGATACTGCACAAAGTATGGACAAAGAATTATGAGAAGGACTTTTTTTTTAAAGAATGCTTTTTTTAAAAAAATATGTCTTAATTGATTTCAGAGAGAGGAAGAGAGAGAGAAATATCAATGATGAGAGTCATTGATTGGCCGCCTCCCACACACCCCCTACTGGGGATCAAGCCTGAAACCCAGGCATGTGCCCTGACCGGGAATTGAACCAAGATCTCCTGGATCATAGATTGATGCTCAGTCGCTGAGCCACGCCAGCCTGGCAAGAAGGTCTTTTGATATTGGCAAAATAATTTAGAAAAAAAATACTAAGAACAAGTAGAAAAGCTAAGTGAAATATAAAAACATCTGCTTGAAGACATTATAGAGCAGATAAGATAAAGATTTATGGGGTGCAGATCCAGAAAAGATGGAAATCTACAAGATGAGCATGACATTTGAAAACACTCTTCCGATAGAAGTTTACAACAAACCTACGTGTAGCAAACATAATATGTAGTGGTTACCTGTTGAAAACTTTTCTTTGAGATCAGGAATGAGACAAGGATGCCTACTATCATCACTATTCAAGATTGTACTGCATGTCCTAGATGTAAAACCTTAATAATCAGAGCTGTAAGAATTGAAAAAGAAGAAATAAACCTATCAATATTCACATACCGTATGACTGCAAATCTTAAGATTCTAGGAAATCCAAGGAAGAATCTAAAACAAAGTTGCTGGATACAAGGACCTTATTTTTTAAAACAATTATTTCTACATAACAGTAACAGTGAAATATTAGAAAGACATCAATGCACCAAAAAATAAAAAAATATATATAGGAATAAATCTAAAGAAAGAACTCCATATAGTAAACTGTAAAACATTACTGAGAGTCAAAGTTATTTTTAAAAACCATTTTTGAGAAAAATCTTCAAAAGGCCTAAATAAATGGAACATATATTTGTGGGTTGAAACTCTCAGTATTATAAAGATGTTGATTACCTCAAGTTAATCTGCAGGTTCAATGTAATCCCAAACAGAATCTTGGTATGATTTTGGGAGGGAGAGAGGGTTATAGAACTTCCTGCTTTGATTCTTAAATATATATGGAAATTGAATGGATTAAATAGCCATTCACTTCATCTTCACTTTTGAAGATGAAGAACATTGTGGGAGGACTTGTTTTATTGGATATTAAGATCTATTATAAAACTATACTAATTATTATAGTGTCAGGTACAAATATGGACAATATCTAGCAACGAACTCTGAGAAAATGGACAAGTGTCTTAAAAAGAAACTATGGATTGAGAATAGTACTAATAATCATAGCTTAAGTAAACTAGAAAATAGAGTTCATTCATTCAGCTATTTTATCTATGCATTTTGTCTTAACACTGAGATTCTAAGTAACTGGATATTAGAGACTATTTCTTACTCTTAACATACCTTCAATAGAATCTCAACATTAGATATAGAAGGTGTTTTTAGTTAATTTGAATTGAATCTATTGTGTTTAAGTTACTATTTTGAATCTTTTTTGGTTTTAGATCTGCTGATTTGGGTCCTACTTTACTGACAAGACCTGGACAACCAACACTTACCAGAGTGCCCCCACCTATTCTTCCAAGGCCATCACAGCAAACAGGAAGTAGCAGTATGAACACCTACAGACCTGCTTACAGCTCATTTTCTTCAGGATATGGTGCCTATGGAAATTCATTTTATGGAAGCTATAGCCCTTATAGTTATGGATATAATGGGTTAAACTATAACCGCCTCCGTGTAGATGATCTTCCGCCCAGTAGATTCGTTCAGCAAGCTGAAGAAAGCAGCAGAGGTGCATTTCAGTCCATTGAAAGTATTGTGCATGCATTTGCCTCTGTCAGTATGATGATGGATGCTACCTTTTCAGCTGTGTATAACAGTTTTAGGGCTGTATTGGATGTAGCGAATCATTTTTCCCGATTAAAAATACACTTCACAAAGGTTTTTTCAGCTTTTGCATTAGTTAGGACTATAAGGTATCTTTATAGACGGTTACAGTGGATGATAGGTTTAAGAAGAGGCTCCGAGAATGAGGACCTATGGGCAGAAAGTGAAGGAACTGTGGCTTGCCTTGGTGCTGATGACAGAGCGGCTAACTCAGCAAAATCTTGGCCAATATTCTTGTTCTTTGCTGTTATCCTTGGCGGTCCTTACCTCATCTGGAAACTGCTATCTACCCACAGTGATGAAATAACAGGTAAGAGGGAATGGGTTCAGAAACCACATAACAATCTCAGATTTCAAGAATAGATTTGTTCAATTAGCATTCTTTATATTTATTTATGTATAATATTTTGATCCTGTCGTATTTTTAGTTAAGAACTTCAGACCCAGAAGAGATACACAGCAAAACAGGCCTGGTGATTTATTCATTGTCCATTCAGTGTAACAGTGCATATTACCTAACTGCTCTTCACAAGGCACTGAACTTGCTGCTGTGGAGTATATAAGGATGCATAGGACATAATCACCCTTATTTCTAAAAGTTATTGGCAGGGAGGTGGGGAAGACACATACAGGTAATTGTAATGAGGCAGAAAGAGTGTGATAAGGAATATGACAGTTGGGGAAAGACAAGGTTTATTGAGCCTTTTTTATATGCAAGACACTGCTAGGTGTTTTGTGTATTTTATCTCATTTAATTCTTAGAATAACCCTAAGAGATAGGAGTTATCTTCATTTTACAAGTGACAAAACTAAGGTTCAGAGAAGTCATTTGCCCAAGGTCACATCTTTAATAAGGTAGAACTAGAAACAAAACCAGGCCTGTTGGACTGTTAAGTTCCTATTCCACCAACTGGTACAGAATGCTATCTCAATTTAGAAAGGCAAAGCTAAATTTTATTTATTTATTATTTATTTATTTATTTTGTCTGTTGGTATCCAAGAAGCTGCACTTGTTAGATTTTTGAAGGACAGGTAACATTTCATCAGTTAACTGGGGAAAAGCAGACTGTTGAGTAGATGAAACAGCTTGAACAAGAGTGCGTAGGCAGAAAATAGAATATTCAGCAGCTGTCCTGTAGCATAGAATAAAAGGATAATAAGGATGAAAAGTAAGGTTGAAGGCTAATAATGGAATATCTTAATTTTTGTTTAGTAAGGAAAGGATGGGGTTTTTGTTTGTTTTGTGTATGTGTGGAGTTTTTTTAGCAGACCTATACATATAAATAGTGTTCTGAAAAGATCAGCCTGTCTCAGGTGTTTGAACTTCGGGATCCACTTATATGCTGATTTTTTCATTAAATACAGTCAGCCCTTTGCATCTGCAGGATTTGAATCCATGGATTCAACCAACCGTGGATCAAAAACAGTATTTTCACATTCCCAACCATGGATGAAAAATACTATTTTTCATTCATTGTTAGTCAAATCCTCAGATACGAAGGACTGACTATAGAGTCAAAAGATATACATCGACTTTGAACTGCATGGAGGTCAGCACTCCTAACCCCCTGCATTGTTCAAGGGTCACCTGTAGAAGTCAGAAGGGAATAGTGCCATGGGGAAAAAATAAAGCAGGGAAGGGTGTTGCAGAACCAGGATTGGGAAATGGGGTTACAATGCTACACCGTCAGGGAAGGCCTCCCTAAAGGAGGTAAGAGATTAAGCCCTGCACCTATTTGAGGCATAGGGAACAGCAAAAGCGCAAAGGTATGTAAATGGTAGTGTGCCTGGCGTGTCATGTGAACAGCAAGGAGGCCAATGGTAAAGGAGCAAAGTCTGAGTGACAGGAGATGAAGGAGGGAAGAATACAGTGTTTTGAGACCTCCATGCAAGGGCAAAGGAAATTTCCATATTTCAAAGTCCATTGAATTATGCAGTTGAGAAGTTTCCACTTAACGTTCATTTGGAAGTGATTAATCTCTAATGTAATGACATGGCATAAATTAATACAAAAGAAGAATTTAACAGAATTCTACTCTACTCGTCTTCTTATGGATGGATATGCTCAATTAAAAGCATAAGTTCAGTGGATTGATACCAGGATTTGTTAATACCTGTGTGAAAAAATATTTTCAAAGATGAAATACCTCAAATCTCATTATGGATGAGCATTAACAGATGAACATTTGCACTTGATGATAGGAAACACTACCTTTAAACACCAAAATATTATCCCACCCCCAAAATCCCATTCTTCTCAGTAGTAGACCTGTATTATAAAAAAAGAACTCCCTTTTTATTATATTTTGAGTTTCATCAAAAAATTTATGGAAAAGTTGTTTCTTTTGTTAAATAAGTACAGTATCTTCAATTTGCCTCATGACCTGCAAAACCTAAAATATTTACTATCTGACCACTTATGGAAAAAAAAATTGCTAACCCTTGGCTTATAGTAAGGGAGCTAGAATTTTGAGCTTCAAAAAAGGGAAAAATTCATAATAGATATCCTGGTGAACACACTGTTGATTTTTACATTATATTAATTATAGAATTTACTTCAGGGGTGACTTTTCTTGTCAAATAAATTTATGCAGTTTGCAAACCATAACCAGTAAAATATCTTCATTTTTCTTTTGTATGTTTTACTAATCTAGTCTTAATTTGGTTTTTAGACAACACCAACTGGGCAAGTGGTGAAGATGACCATGTAGTTGCTAGAGCAGAATATGATTTTGCTGCCCTTTCTGAAGAAGAAATTTCTTTCCGTGCTGGTGATATGCTAAACTTAGCTCTCAAAGGTAACAAACCATGAATAAATTGAAATTATCTGTGAATTTTTAGAATTTGTAAATGTAGTATAAAAACTCCAACAAAGGATATTGGTTATTGTTAGTTAACTCAGAAGTAGTTTCTAGGATTTTGCTTTTGTGTCTGTTTTGAACTTTCAAATCTGGGCAGTGGGGGAGAAATGCCCCAACAAAGTTGTTCCAGTAATGTTTCACCGAGATAAGAGTTTGTTTATATAATCTCTTCTAAACCCCAAACACTTGAATTCTAAACTCTGTTAATCCCCACACAAAAGCATGAGGTAAACACTAGTATAACAAATCTAACAAACCAAAGAAATTATCTGGCGTCATTGAAGTATCCCTTTCCTCCTCTAATTGCGGGTGCTGTTGCTGCTTTCTTTTTCACTTGAATAGTGTTTACTTCAGAAACTTCAACATGAATATTTTAGGAATTACTGTCATGAAGTATTTGGACCAGATCACTAACAGTTTTTAATTGCTCCAGACATGGCCTTTTTCTTCAGCCATCCCCAGTAATGATCATAATTTTTGTTGATTTACAAAAAAAAAATCTTTTGTGTGTTTGTGGGGATTCAGGTTTGCTACGAAAAGTCACATTGTTGGTAAAGATACCAGTAATAATAACCACTGTTGTTTATAGAATACTACTTACTATGTACAAGGCACTATACTTTACATATTTTATTTAACCCTTATAATAATAATGCTGTGAAATGCGAACTGTTATTTTTGTCCCTGTTTTAGACATAAGAAAACTAAGACTCAGAATTCTGAGTAAATTGTCCAGTATTACAAAACTAAGAAGTAGTGGAACTGGACTATGAACCTAGGTTTATTTGACTTCGGAACCATTTTGGCTGTTTCCTGTGTGACCTCTTAAATGGAAGCTTTAGCTTTTAATTGCTTTTAGTCACTCTTTACATAAGGAAAAAATCATTAGTTTAATGTGTAAATAATTAAAATTTTTGGATCAGATTTGCTGAATCTCTGCCATATCCCCTCATACACAAAATCTTGACTTCTAAGCATTATATTCATGTTTTTTGGTGAAAATCACATCTTACTCTTTTGGATTTCAAAAGAATGGTTTTTTTATAAGATTTATTGTTATAGATAGGACCAATACAGAAATTAGTTTTAATTGATCTAAATAAACAATAAAGGTTTCTTTCAATTACATTATAATAATTCAGAAAAATGTTATAGCTTAGATTAGATATTCTACTAATCTTGCCTCTAAACACTTTGTCTTTGCTTCTTTGCTTTTTTCCATTGCTCAAGTAAAGTATATGTATTTAGAACAAAATCAGTCATACACATTAGTTTCTTGTTTTTTTCTTTTTATAGCATATCAAACATTCAAATGTCATATTGTGCCTAAATTACAATGTTGAACTGAAACTCTAGTGTTAAACAACTTTTTAAAGACATGGATAAAATAGGTGGGAGAATACCAAAATACAAAATTAAATATATTAAATAACCTTTCCTACTTTAAGCTTAAGTTATTGCCTTTAACTTTTTGTCATAAGGCTGGAGATAATAGAGGTCTTCATTTTTGCCCATTTTGGATTAATATTAACATTCACTGTCTTCAGGATTGTTTATCATTGTCACATAGAATGACTTTTATATTTTGGCCAAAAGTATGTAAAGCTGGCTGCCATGGCCCATGTGGCCTAGTGATTAGAGCGTCGACCCGTGCACCAATGGGTCTCAAGTTCCATTTCCGGTCAAGGGCACATATCTGGGTTGCAGGTCCGATCCCTGGCCCTGGTCGGGGAGCATGTGGGAGGCAACTAATCGATGTGTCTCTCCTGTCACATCGGTTTTTTTTTCTCTCTCTCTCTCTCCCCCTCCCCTCCTTCTTCCACTCTCTCTAAAAAAATCAAAGGAAAAAATACCCTCAGGTGAGGATTAAAAAAAAAAAAGAAAGCTGACTTACATGAAGGTATATATTTCTTTTCTATACTTACCCCTGACTTATCCTATTAAGAAGGATTGAGAAATTCATTTCTCAAATTCCAATTTAAAATATGAAAGACATTGATGTTAGCTTTCAGCTTTTGGGGTAGCTGAATCTCCTTACTCTATGAATGGACCAACTAATATAAACTTTATGTTCTTCAAGGTTGAAAAAAATATTTAGTAAGTATAAAAACGTATAAATTATAAGAAGGGACCCTAGAACTGTTAAGCCTATTACCATTTGATATTGAATATATGTGTATATGCTATTCGTTTATATATTTTATTATGTAAGTGTAACACAGCTTTTACGTAGTATTTTACTATTAATATTCTGTTGGACCTCCAAAGTATAATTACAAGACTGTCTATTCTTTCATCAGAACAGCAACCCAGAGTGCGTGGATGGCTTCTGGCTAGTCTTGATGGTCAAACAACAGGACTTATACCTGCTAATTATGTCAAAATTCTTGGTAAAAGAAGAGGTAGAAAAACACTGGAATCCAGTAAAATTTCCAAGCAACAACAATCTTTGACCAACACAACACTAATTAAAGGAGCCACAGCTGCTGATTCTTTGGATGAACAGGAAGCTGCCTTTGAATCTGTTTTTGTTGAAACTAGTAAGGTTCCAGTTGTACCTGATTCCACTGGGATAAGTGGAGATAAACAAGATCTTTGAACTTTAGAGTACTTTTAAAAAATTACTTATAAAGAAATTATTCTACAATCCAGTGAACACATTTATTGCTATTCCAGGTATTTTGCTGCTAGAAATTGTTAAAGTTGTACACTAGTATGTTGGTCTAGTGACCTGGTTACATTTTACAAGTTATTGGACCAGAAGGATGTTTGTTTCACCTAGATTTTAAGATTATGGGAACTTTCATTTTCATCTTATTTAAAACCCTGTGTTTATTGCCTGACCCAGTTGAAGCATCATCCTGTACAACAAAAAGTTTGCGGGTTTGATTCCTGGTCAGGGCAAATACTTAGGTTTTGGGTTCCATCCCCCATTTGGGGCACATACAGGAGGCAACTGATCAGTGTTTCTCTCTCTCTTTCCCTCTTCCTATCTAAAATCAATAAACATATCCTCAGATGAGGATTAAAAAAAGTAAAACCCTATGTTTACTGAAGGAGTAAGAGTAATGAACTACAGAATATATTGTTTGCTACAGTAGGGATTATTAATGCTTTTTAAAATTCTACATTAATTGTCTTGGAATCCTCAGAAATTGAGTGCTAACATATGAGAACAGGGAAAAAGGCTAATTTTTTTTTTACAACTTTAATTATATCGAATAATAAAAATTTTCTGACCTGTATTACATTCAGTCTTGGGTTTGTTTTAAGCAGTAATATATTTTTGCCCACTAACAATTGATAACATCTTTTATTGTATTTTTAAAAATTTATCTTGGAAAGGTCACTGGAAGCATTGTGAAGGAGATGGTTCTAAAGTATATTTAGCCTTAATAGTTTTCCCTGCTACTAAAAAGGTTGACATTTATCTTTCTTACAGATTATTTCCATTTCTTCTAAGGAGCAAAGAACTTTTTTCCCTTTACAATATGACTAGTTTCATCCAGGGTGAATCAGGGTATAGGAAAGATTTACTTTCTTTTCCTCCAACCAGGAGTCAAGTCCTTGGAGTTTGTGCATAATGATATAATCAATTCTAGCAGTAATGATTTAAAATCTTCTCACAGATTCTCTGCTTCTAACTAATACAGTTTTCAAGAGTACATATTCAGGCTGTTCATTGAACACATTTGTTTTTAGGTTTAGTTTTTAATACTTGAGACTAAATAAAATTCTGAATTGCCATTTGGCAAATGGTAATGCTATTTGACTTTTTTGCTTAATAATAACTTAAAAGGCAGTTAAATTTCAATACCCTGAATATTTACACACAGGATTGGAAAATTTGTATACTTGTGATCATACTACAAAATAATACTGTCAGGAATACATGTGTACAAGAATATATTCACAGGTATATTTCCATTTTTGTTCCACAATTATAGGTTCCGCTTTGTTTTGTTATAGAGTAATTTATAGAAATTTTCTTGAAACAAATTTTTGATAAAACAAATTATTTGGTGTTGAGACATCTGAATTGAATGCTGTAAGTGAAGTGTAGAGGTGAAATGTCGAGTCAGTCTCTTTAGGTTAGAAAAGGTGAGTCTTTACAATAGGATTTGTGACTGCTGGTAAAGATGTTTAGGGAAAGAGTATAGCACAGAATGAATAATAGGAATAACTTCACTTTTCCTAGGGTGTTTATTTTTTGGTTAAGTATGCTAAATTGCAATATATATTAGCTGACTGGTAACTATTTGTGTCTAAAAATTCCTTTTCTATTAAAATTCTAGAAAAGGAATTTAGGACTAGAATAAGAAATTTTGTAATCTTTTTTATTATGACAGTTTTAGTATACTTTTTTTAGATGATATTAAATGTAATGTTCAGGGCTTCAATATTGTAATTTTTAGGAACTTATTTAAGGAGTACTGCTTTACAGAAATTACTAACTAAATCCAAAACATTTTCAATTAAATAAAATAATAAATTACAAGTTACAACAAGAAAACATTTTATTTACAAATTTTTTCTGATTTTATTTTGTCAGTTTAGAAAGGAAAACGTAAGAGGATTATAAATTTTCATGTTTTAACATGTTATTTATGTACTTGATTTATTTCAGTGTGTCATAATTATACATTTACTTGAATATAGCTATCCTTATCTTGTGCTTCCTTTAATGGAAAAAACAGAAATTGAATACAGTTAAAATTTTATTTTTAATAGATTGTGAAGTTACTTTTACTGGAAAAATAAAAATACATTAAACTTCATTGACATTTTTTGAAGATAACTCTTTTTGCAGGATTGGAATTGATATAAAAAGTCTCTCTTTTTCGCCCTGGTCGGTGTTGCTCAGTGGTTAGAGTGTTGGCCCCGAACTGGAGGGTCTTGAATTTGATTCCCGGTCAACGGTGTGTACCTGGGTTGCAGTTTCAATACCCAGTCCCAGCCGAACGAGTTCAGGAGGCAGCCAGTCCCTGTGTCTCTCACATCGTTTCTCTCTCTCCCCCTTTTCCGCTCTTTCTAAAAATCAATGGAAAAAATATCCTCAGGTGAGAATTAACAACAAAAAGGTCTCTCTTTTTCTTCCTGTTATTGTGTATACTAACTACTGCAAACCAATGTGTCTGTTCTATTTCCTTGTGAGGTAAAGAAAAATTAGATTTACATTTATATAAAAATTAGATATCTAGACGGTGAATTAAATAAAAATAAGACTACTGCCGTGACCAGTGTTGCTCGGTTGGTTGGGCATTGTCCTGTGCACTGAAAAGTGGTCAGTTCGATTTCTGGTCAAGGCACATGCCTGGGTTGCGGGCTTGATCCCTGGTGGGGTGGCGTGAAGGAGGCAGTGGATCCCTCTCACGTCGATGTTTCTGTCTCACTTTCCCTTCCTCTCTCTCTCAAAATCAATTTTTTAAAATCTTAAAAATAAGACTACAAATCTAGGTTTGGGATTCTAATCTGGACACCACTACTACTTACTATAAGATTTAATTCACATTAGTTTCCTCGTTGATAATGTTGGACATAGAAGCTACATCTGCCTCATATGAACGTGCCCCCCCACCCCACCCAAGTAGGATTTTTTATTTGTCACCATTAAGTCTGAATTTTAAGCAGATTCTTGGACTGGGGGGTCATATCCATCAGCCCGTTCAACTTTAGCACCTGTCTCATCCCTAGTAGCTTTTCCAGATCTGCTAACTTCAGTGTGAATCTCCATGAGTTTTCCTAGTTCATATTTGGGCTTCTTTAGCATTTGATTTTTCTAACAAAGACATGATGGAGCAGGTGAAAAGATTGGCAAGCCCTTTCTGTCTTTTCAGTGCTGTCTGGAATCAATTTATTGACCACTTCTTTCAAATCATTTGTACCTCTTGGGTCATGATTCCCATCATCCATATGTTCTTGACCTCAAAATTTATTATTTTCAGGCCTTATATTTTATCTGAGTTCCAAATTCATATATCTACCTACCACTTTGATATCTTAACTTGGTATCTGAAGTTTAGAATGGTTAAAAATCCTGACCTTCACTTCAAACCCTGTTTCTCCTCCATTCTCTTCCCTTTGCTAGTAAATGACAACTACATTTTTCCATTTGTTTAGGCCGGAAACTTTGGAACCCTTTTTATTTCTCTCATTCACACCCCACATATACTATTGTAATAGCCTATGACTTGTCGCTCTTCTGCCTCTATGTCAGAAGACCTATAGTCAGTTGTCAAAACAGGGACAGAGTATTCATTTTTTTTTAAATCTAAGTCCTATCACAACACTCCTCTGCTGATTCCTGCCAGAGGCTTCCCATTGACTCAGTACAAACTCAAAGTCCTACAGTGGTCTACAAGTGGTTGTGTGGTCTGACCCCCTTCAACTCTTTACCTCCTGCTTTCCCCACGTCATGTTGGCTTCCTTGCAGTCACTTTAACATTCTAGGCATGCTTTCACCTTAGGACCTTTGCACAAAGTTTTTCTTACGCCTGGACATTCCCAGAGATTCTCACAGCCCTCTTCGCAACTTTCTGGTCATTGCCCAAGGGTCATCTCAATGAGCCCATCCATGTCACCCTGTTTTAAACTGCAACCCTCTACATTCCCTTATCCTTCTTTGCTTTTTTGTTTTGTTTTGTTTTTGTAGTATATATTGCTTCATGTTTTCCTGCATCCCACAATGAAACAGTACCTCGCATATTTTAGGCACTCATATGTTGAAAGAGCGGATAAATCATACTGTCTTTTCCCAATACTCTCATTAATGTCAGTTTCCCTCTAGGAAGAGCATATGAAATTAACCCTAACATAATTAATGATGAGTACAGGGTAAATTAATAGCTTAAATTTATAACTACTAGCTATAATAAACAGTATTTTCCTAGATATTCATAATGCAAAAGTTTTACATTTGTTTACACTGTTAGTAGACTTAATTTATTGTTAAGATTAAAATATGTAGGAGTATCAAACTATATGCCTTTGATAATTCAATTTTTGTGCAGTTTAAACTTGGTTGATTTTTTAAAAATACATCTTTATTGATTTCAGAGAGGGGAGGGAGAGGGGGAGAGAGAGAGAGAAACTCAATGATGAGAGAGTCATTGATCGGCCGCCTCCTGCATGCCCCCCACTGGGATCGAGCCTGCAACCCAGGCATGTGCCCTGACCAGGAATCAAACAGCGATCTCCTGGATCCTAGGTCGATGCTCAACCGCTGAGCCACGCCGGCTGGGCAAACTTGGTTGATTTTTAAATTTCACTAATACATTCATAACATTCAGCACACTAAAGAAGTTTTCATTTTAAGCCAATACAGTAAATTTCAATTGGAAAGTAAGCCCTGGAGAAAAGACCACAAGTCATTTAGGTAGCAAATCTTTTAGATAGCTAAGTAGAATTGATACTTTTAATTTCCCACAGCAATGCATTACAAATGTTTTTGTAATACATTTGCTTCCAGGATCTGTGGACCTTTGGATTCATCTTTTTACTCAATTCTAGAAGTTTCACAACAGTTATCTCCATTCTATTTGTTCTCTTTAGATTCAAATTAGACATGTGCTAAACTACATTCTGTCCTTCATAGCTTTGTCTTTGTATTTCCATCTCTGTCTCTGTGTGCCGCAATCTGGATAACTT